ACCGACGATTGTTGCTCATTTGGGGCACTATTGGGGTGCCTCTTGGGAGCCTCCTGAGGGTCTCTTGGGTGCCTCTCGGGGCTTCGGGGGGCCTCTTGGGGCCTCTTGGGGACCTCTTGGGGCCTCCTGGAAGCCTCTGGGGCCGAAAGCTCGGAATTTGAATATGGTTGTGCACCTCTGGGACCCATCTGGGGCTCATCCTGGGGCTCTCTTGGGCTGTCAAGGGGGCCTCTCGGGCCGTCTAGGGACCCTCTTGGGGTCGTCTTGGAGCCCTCTTGGGGGCCTGTGGGGCAGTCTTGGGTGCCTCTTGGGCCGTCTTGGACGCAGTGGAAGCCCCAAAGGCGAACGCGCCAAAAATATCAGTGGTTTAAGAACAGTACGCAGGCACGCTTGACAGTTTGGCACAAACTGCGATACAAAATGCTGCCGGCACCGAACAAGGAGAGGCCTTGGGCTGGCGTGGGCCGAGTGAGGTGCCTTGAGAACAGACAGCGGCACATTCGGCAGATCATTCACGCGAATCACTTACATGATCTTCTATTTTGCCAGTGGCGGAAGCTGCTTGAGGTTAAGAACAGTACGCAGGCACGCTTGACAGTTTGGCACAAACTGCGATACAAAATGCCACACTTCAAACCTTAGGCCCACTACTCAAGCATTGTGCTGGGGTGACCCCGCATACGTTTCCATCTTTCAGTGGAATGCTGTGCAACGCAAAAGGAGTGTAGCGTTTCTGCAAGGAGAGCGCAGAGTTCAGGCGGGTAAGCATTTTTAAGTTTAGTGCTGAACCCGCCATCCGAAAAAAACAGTCAGCTCCAGATGAGGCTTCCCGGAAAAAGAACAGATCCCCTTGCCCTTACAAGCGAGCTTCTCGAGCGCAGGGTGAGGAACACACTTCCAAAATCGAATGCGAGTGCGGGCGCGAAACGGACGCCCGCAGGCACAGTAATCCACAACTCTATCACAGACTTGTGGGAGGCGGGCTAATGCTAGGCGGTCAGGGCGAAGCCATAGGATGCTTTGCCAAGGGTTCTCTTCCCCGCCCGGCATTCATCTTATAACAAAGTCTCTGGATGCGTTGTGAGACCCACCCTAACTTGTCGGAGACTTGAAGGCTCTGAAAGTCTTTACCCTCGAGGTCAGGAAGCCCAAGAGGGAACTTGGGGCTCCTGAGAGCCGACGGCATGTTACTAGACGGCGGAGCCCTGCGAGCCCTGGAGTACCCGCTACAGGGCGTGCCCAAAAAAACGAGTTTGACAAGGCCCGAAGAGATCCAGCCTCTGAGGGTCCTCCAGACAGCAGGGCGAGTTAAGTCAAAATGATCTCCGTGTCGCACATCCCACTCCACCACCGCCTCCCCTCTAAGACGCAAGTGTTTACTCAACTCACCACAGCCTGAGAAGACCTCCACGCAGACTCGGGACTGATGCGGCGCGCTGCGAACTGCCGCACCAAGGACCTGTTGAAGACGCCGATGTGATCCAGTCCTGCGGCTCGCAGCGCGTCTCGGAGCTGGTCGGACAACTTGCGAAGCTCCATTGACAGGCGTCCGTGCTTCTCGTACCTGAGCACTGACTTGAACGCCTTCCATCCTCCGCGCTGCTGCACGGCGCCCAAGCTTCCGGCGCCCGTGCTCTTGTCGCGGCTGGCCCCTCCATGCCGGAGGGAGTAGAGGGTGGCCTTGAGTACGTTCACACCCAGAGCTGAGATCGCACTGCTGAAGTCTGCGGCCAGCTCGGTGTAGCTGAGGCCCAGGAACAGCTCGTCTGGTTCCCGCAACGCTTGGACGAAGGAAATCGACTCTACCAGCCATTGCTGCCGCTGCAAGTCCAGCGGCACTGAGAGGTCGTACTCGTTTGTTTTGGTCGGGATCTGATACTCTGAAGCTCGGACCACAAACGCCAGAAACACTGAGGCGCCTCCTTCCTTCGGCAATGGCAGAACAACCTGGCGGGCTCGCAGGGCCAGCACCTCCGATGGCCGCATGTACGTCTCGAACATTATCAGGACGGCCAAGCCACTGAGAGGCTTCCCAGCTCGGCACAGCCAGCAAGCCACTGCCAGCACCACCACGAACGGAACAGGCGGCCGCGATTGGGAGGGCTCCAGGACGTTCCACCCTTTGGGCGTTTGGTGCGTCACGGGGAAGACTTCCCGAATGCCTGCCCTGTGCAGCGCAGGCTCCACCCACAGCAGCGCCGGCGCCAACCTCTGGGTAGCCGCCTTCGAGCCGCCGCGGTCGTAGATCGCCTCCGCGTACTCCGCCAGCACCTCGTCCCAGGTCTGCCGCGGCCAGTCCGGGAGGCACTCCAAGCCCAGCCAGCGCACCAGCCCAAAGACCGTCCCCAGGTACAGCTCCTGAGTGTGAGGGCGTACCTTCGCGGCCGCAAGGCGGGTCTGGCGGGGGCAGAGCTGGCGCCTCCTCTGGTCGAAGTCGCTCGCCAAGCGAGCGCGGCCAAGCCTTGCGCGCCGCCCGGCCAACCCTGGCCTGCTCGCGGGCCCAGCCAGAGCCGGCACCACGGCGCGCGCAGGAGCCCCCAGCGATTCTCCCAGCGACCAACCCTTCGCAGGGGGCGCTCGGCAAGGCGAACGGCTCCTGCGCCTGCTGGGCGCGCGACGGCCTGAGGGGGAGCTCGCAATGGCAAGCGGCGTCGGCGGCTTCGCCCGCAGCGCAGCCGCCTCCATCGGCCCCTCGGTCACGCCGACCTTGAGGCTGGAAACGGCGAGAGGGCTTGTCGCTGGGATTCCACTCTGAGGGGAGCCACCTGACCTGCATCTTCATATCTGCTGCGACGCCGATGGCAGAGATGACACGACAGACGCCCGGCAGACGATGGTTGACAGCACGACCTTTGGCAGCAGCAAGGGTGAGGGACATGTTGTCTCCGAGAAACAATCGTCGTGACCAGTGCTGTCGAGCGTCTCTTGCCGCTCGCCGCACTGCCCAGGTCAGGGCGGCCCCCTCCAGGCCATGAGTGGCCTCCTTGCGCTTCCAGCGGCAGCAGCCCACCACGCGCCAAGGCTGCGCCTGCATTTTCTCGTAGTCGACCTCTGGGAAGCCTGCAGCGCGGCCAGCAAGCAGCAGGGCGGGCCCAGGGGCCCGCGCGATCTCCTGCTCCAGCGCGCGCTCGCGGGGGCCCCCTCGGCCGCCAGCAGCCCTCGGAAGCGCGCGCTCCGAGACTCGCCCGACTCGCTGTGCACTGTCGAGGTCCCATTCGGTCTCGACGATGCCGTAGCCCCAGGGCGACGCGTCAAAGCAAGTGACCATGTCGCTCCAAGGCAGCGTAGTGTCAGCGCGCAGGCACGGCAGCAAGGACTTCACCCAAGCCAGCTCGCGGCGCACGCTCTTCCAGAGAGGCTGCCGCTTGGTGTAGGACGCCCTCGCAAACTCGTAGGAGGCGTGGAGCATGGCGAGGCCCTCTCGGCGCAGCATCAGAAGCGACACCAGGTGGCCGATGAGGCGCTCGAGCTCCTGGCCAGTCACCCTGGCCCGCTTCCCGAGCGCGTGCTCCAGCGCTCCATAGATCCGCCAGAGCCGCCGCCCCAGCACCTGCCAGCAGCCAGTGCGCAGGTCGAGCTCGCAGCCCAGCAGTTCCCCGCGCTCGCAGGAGTCGGGGTCCAGCTCCGAGACCACTCCGCGCGCTGCCAAGGCCGACTGCATGGCCTTGACCGCTGCGGCAGCGCGGCCAGGGGAAGATGACAGCACTGCAAAGCTGTCAATGTACAAAACCTTGGCATCGTCGGTCTTCAGGTCAATCCCGGGGCACTTGTCAAGGCACCAGGGCTGCGACGGCAAAACTGATCTGACGATGTGCAGGTGAGCTTCTTGAGTAAAGTGAACGGCCCAATTCCATCCCATGGGCAACGCCTTGAAACGAAGGCGAACCTGGCCGCTCTTCAACGATAGACCACAGGCACTTCGGACACCGGATGGCAGAAAGCGACTGTCTATCAAGGGCAAGTTGAAGTAGCGCCTGCACCAGGGTGGAAGAGATTATTGATAGAAACAACAGTCAACGTCTCCAGAACTCATCCGATTCAAACTGACTCCAGACGCCTCCAGTGAAGATAGGGCCTCACCCGTCGCAAGAGCAGTATGTTCAGGAGTTGTGAAATGCATGTTCGGCGTTCTGGTATCGCATATGAGACGCAACCTCTTGTCCTTCCGCGCCACAAAGAAAAGGCCTGCCTCCTCCAGCACGGGCTCCGAGCTGGCCTCAATAACTCCAGAAGCGAGAAGCTCCCCGAGCGCGTGGCCGTAGTCGTAGCCGAGCCGCCCGAGCTTCGGGTCCATGGCGCGAGGAGCACCTGCATCGCTAATTAGCGCTGATGGCTCCAAAGGGGAACGCAACAGCCCGCGCCCAGCCTCCAGCTTGTGATGCAGATCAGCAGGCAGGACGTCCAGAAGAGAAACCTTCCCGGCGCCAATCTTGGGGAGAGAGATGTTTCCCCGCTGGTAAACTGTTCGAGAACCTGAGGCCTCGACTTCTGAGTAGCCAGCCCTGAGACCCTGAAGCGTCGTCCACGCCTCATGGGGGCTCGGGCGATCAGTCGGCGGTGACCACTTCCCGTAGATCGCAGCCAGACGCCGAACGGCAACGCGTTGGGCCGCCGTCAGCGGGGCTGAGGCAGGCACATGACGACCCTGCCCGCCAAGCTCGTTGAGGGAGGCGATGCCATCGATCAACCACATATCCTGACGCCTCCTGGTCGCAGCCCTGCGCTTCGCAGACAGTGAAATACCAAAAACAAAACATCCACTAAGCAAAGACATCAGCTCTGAGCCAATCGGAATCGGCAGCAGATCACGGCGGCGGCCTCCAACGCCGTGGTCACAAAACATGCGCAGACGATGCCGCACCTCCCCTTGAAACTAGTCGACCGCTCGGGGGCAGGCGGGCGACCAAGGGACCCCTGACTCAGGATGGGGCTATGCAGCCCCCCTCACCTGCCTTGCCCTTGGCCTTTGCCTTGGCCTTGGGCGCAGATGTATCCCCGACCGCTCCGCCACGAGCAAGAATCTTTTCTTCACGACCTTTGCGACGTTCTTTGAGTACAGCAGCCTCCGATTGAAGGCGACCCGAAACCCAAGTCTGTAGATCGGGCGACACCAGGGCCCCTCCACGGCCACGCTCTTGCCCAAGAAATATTTCACGTTCATCGAGCCAGGCCGATCCACCGGAGTCACGAACTGCACCAGCCTCATGTTCACGCAGCCTGTTAGCGTAAACCTCCTCCCAGAGTTGGCACCTCCTCGAGATCGCTTCGAACACGCCGAGCTCCCCTTCATTGAGCTGGTCCTTCGTCGCGCCCATCTCCAGGAGCTCGGACAAGAACTGATGTTCGTCGACCCCCGCGTCTGCTGCGGTGAGGTTCTGCGTCGGCCTCCACCACATGTGACGCTGGAGGGGGGTCTGGCCCAGCCTCTTGAACTGCTGCAGAAGCCACGTGGTGGTGCGAAGGCCCAATACTGGCCAGTCTGGCATCGGGCTGGTGGACATGAGCTCGACCGCGTCCGAGAAGTCCCTGATCCTCGTCCCTGCCCTGTCATACCGAACGGGCAGTGTGCGGAGGTCATGCTCCTCAGCGCCCGTCTCCTTTCGGGGGGTGCTCGCCCCCTCGAAGGCCCCCGACTTCGCGACCGCCAGCATGGTGCCATCCGAGAGCTCGACAATCCCACGGTCGCCAGCCGAGCTGCGGGGGGCGGTCCCAGCGAGGAGCTCGCCACCTGGACGGTAACCAACTCGGCACTCCAGGACCACCCAGCGCACAACATCACCAGCGTCAGCGCGAGCACCGAGAGCCCTCGCAGGCTCCGCGTCGCCGTCGGGGGCGGGCAGCGCTGGCAGCCCTGCACCTTCAGCCGGTAGTCCCTCCTCTCGGCGGACCTCCTCAGCCAGTGCGCGCCCTTCCTCAAGCAGCGCCGCTTCGTTGCGTTGATATCTGTCCATGTCCATGCGCAGGATGTGGCCAGACAACTTCGTAGGCGAGCCTCCCATCGGGCCAACCAGGCACAGGTGCAGGGCATCCGAGAGGTCCTCCTCATAGGTGTCGAAATGAGGAGTAACCACAACCCAACGAATGGGATAAACACGGCCCAAGAGGACTCGCTCATGCCAGTAGTTGTCCTCTCGCTCGTAGAAGACGAGAACGCGGGCCCCCACTCGAAGGCTTGCCAGCGCCTTCGCAGTCCGAGCCGCTGCCATGCGCGTCCTCCAGCGCCCGGGCCCGGTGGCGGCAGCTCAACGCCGCGGCCCCCCGCGCGCGCAGGCCCAGCGCCAAGTCGAGCGCCAGCGCGAGACCGAGCTCCAGCCCGGTGTGGCCCGACGGCGGGCAGGAGGGCACCTGGGCCGGCTGCCCGTGGAGGTGCTCTGGCCCGCACCTGTCGAGCTGGCCCTTCAGCAGCCCAATGAGCGCCTCGTCTGGCGAGGCGTCGAAATGGCAGCTGCAGTCGCAAGCCCGTGCGTGTTCATGTTCGGTTCCTCGTCCCCGTTTTGGGCGCCGACTTGGGGCGTTGTTGAGCGGTTTAGGCGTCTTGCCCAAGAAGCCTCCAAGACGGCCCCAGGACAGCCCAAGAGGCCCCCAACACGGCCCCAAGACGGCCCAAGAGGCCCCCAAGAAGCCCCAGATGGCCTCCAAGACCGCCAAGATGACCCCACGATGCCTCCAAGACGGCCCAAGATGCATCCAAGACGGCCTAAGATGGCCTCAGTATTGCCCCAGACTGCCCAAGAGGCCCCCAAGAGCCTCCGAGACGGCCCAAGAGGCCTCCAAGAGGTCCTCCAGGAGGGCCCGAAGAGACCATCATCATTGATTTTCCATAGGCATTTGGAGGATTTTGGCATTTGTTTCTTCTCAGCATTCCGACGGATCAAGTCGGCCCACGAGGCCCCCAAGATCGCCCACGAGGCCTCCAAGATGGCTCCATGACGGCCAGAAAGGCCCCCAAGAGGGCCCTAAGAGGCCCCCAAGAGGCCTTCAAGACGGCCAAGGTGGCCTCCAAGACGGCTGAGATGGCCCCCAAATGCCTCCAAGACGGCCCAAGATGCATCGACGACGGCCTAGGACGGCCCAAGAGGCCCCCAAGAGGCGCCTGGGACGGTCCAAGAGGCCTCCAAGAGGTCGTCCAGGGGGCCCGAAGATACCAAAATCATTGCTTTTCGTTAGGTGTTTGACGGACTTCGGCATGTGCTTCTTCTCGACAGCGACGGGGAGACCATACAGGACCTCAAAGTCCACGAACGATCCCTCCAAGACGGACAAGATGGCCTCCAAGACGTTTCCAAGACGGCCAACGTGGCCGAAGATTGCCTCCAAGATGCGTCCAAGATGATCCAGATGGCCCCAAGAAGCTCCATTATAGCCCCAAAATGGCTGCCAAGACAAACCCAAGATGCCTCCAAGACCGCAAAGATGGCCCAATAAAACCCTAGAGTAGCCCAAAAGGCTCCCAAGAGACCTCCTCCTCTCTCCTCCTTCTTCCTCCCTCTCCTATCCTTCCTCCTCCCCGACCGTGTTCCCCGAACGCTTTCCAAACCGATTCGGGGAACACATGGTCCGATAGTTTGGCAGGCCTCTGGCCACAACGTTCGGCCACATAGGCGTTTCCAGAAAGTCAGGGGGCGGCGGTGATTCGCCGTAGGCGTCTTCGATCCGCCGCCCCCTGTTGGCTTGCCGCTTTTGGTTTGGGTTCTTTTCCCAAACGAACTCCCCATGGGGATTCGGCCCGTCCCGCCGGCCACCTGGAAGGGCGCGCAGAGATGCACAAAAGGTGGCTGCAAAGGGCGCTTCGCCTCCAGACGGCTCCAAGGTGGCCCCCAAGATGGCCAAGATGTCCCAAGATGGCCTCCAAGTTCGCCCAAGATAATCCAAGATGGCCTCGAAGACGGGCCAGGACAGTCCAGGACGCCTCCAAGTTCGCACAAGAAACACCTAAGACGGCCCAAGACGGCCCACCCAGAGACCTCCAAGAGGCCTCCAAGACGGCCCAAGAGGCCTCGAAGAGGTCCTCCAGAGTCCTCAAAGACGGTCCAAAGAGGTCAAAAGCATTGAAGGTTGTTTGCGAGATTGTAGCTTCTGCTCCTTTTCGGCCTTCCGACGGCCCGAGACTGCCCAAGAGGCCATCAAGATCGCCCCAAGAGTGCCCAAGAAGCCTCCAAGACGGCCCCAGGACGGCCCAAGAGGCCCCCAAGACAGCCCAAGAGGCCCCCAAGAAGCCCCAGATGGCCTCCAAGACTGCCCCCGAGATGCCCCCAAGACGGCCAAGATGGCCTCCAAGACGGCCAAGATGGCCCCAAGATGCATACAAGACGGCTCAAGATGGCCCCAAGATGGCCTACGACGGCCCGAAAGACCCGCAATATGCCTTCAAGACGGCCCAAGAAGCCTCCAAGAGGTCCTTCAGGAAGGCCCGACGGGGTAAACAATCATTGATCGTCCTTCGGTTTTTGAAGGATTTTGGCTTTGCTCCTTTTCAGCTCTCCGACGGCCCCATGACAGCCCAAGAGGACCCCAAGAGGGCCCCGACAAGGCCCCACGACGTCCCAAGAGGCTTCCACGACGCCCATGATAGCCTCCAACAAGGCCAAGATGGCCTCCAGGATGCCTCCAAGACGCCCAAGATGGCCGTCAAGACGGCCAAGATGGCCCGATGATGCACCCAAGACGGCCCAAGATGGCCTCAAGTTGGCCTAAGACGGCCCTACAGGCCCGCAAGAGATCTCCAAGACGGCCAAAGAGCCTTCCAAGACGTCCTCCAAGAAGGCCCGAAAGGGCCCAAATCATTGATGTTCCTTAGGTTTTGCAGGATTGCGGCATGTTCTTCTTATCAGCTCCCCGACGACCCAAGACGGCCCAAGAGGGCCCCAACATCGACCCGAAAGCGCTCAAGAGGCCTCCAAGATGGCCCCATGACAGCCCAAGAGGCCCCCAAGAGGGCCCCAACAAGGCCCCACGACTGCCCAAAATGCACCCAAGACGGGCCCAGATGGCCCCCAAGACGGCCAAGATGGCCTCCAAGATGCCTCCAAGACGGCCAAGAAGGCATCCAAGACGGCGAAGATGGCCCCAAAATGCACCCAACATGGCCCCAGATGAAGGCCCGAAAGGATCAAAATGGCCTCCAGACGGCCAAGATGAACTTCAAGATGCCTCCAAGACGGCCAAGATGGCCTTCATGACGGCAAAGATGGCCCCAAGATGCACCCAAAAGCTCACAAGAGCCCCCAAGGGGCCCCGAACACGCTCATGATATAACTTCTTTTCCAATCATTTGCTGCATGGCAAGAGCTCAGCTGAGTCGATGGAGAGCGTGACGAACCACGCTCAAATCAACCCTGCAAGCATCACGGGTCTGCACGTGCACACGACAGTTCTTAAATCGATGCTCCTGTAGAGTGAGGCGGGAAGGGCTGGGACGGGCGGGCGCCGAAAAGCTACAAAAAAGGGAACGGAGACAGGCGCGATATCAATGTCGCACAGAGCTCACCATGATATAACTTATGTTCCAATCGTTTGCTGCATGACAAGAGCTCAGCTGAGTCGATGGAGAGCGTGACGAGCCACGCTCAAATCAACGCAGATTCAGAACAACATACCCACGTCCAGCACTGAAACTGGGTCACCGTAGAAGATTCCATTTTCTCGAAGTTCGACGAAGAGCATAGGACATGAAAAGGTCATTGGCCAAGATGTCCGCCAATTGGCGAGGGTATACAGCCTTGGCGGCTGTGAAGAAACCGCCTCCTACTTTGGCCCCGGACAGGTTGTGATGTGGCTTGCCTGAAAAGTCGCACACGCCACGGCCATGACAGCGCAGACGAGGCAACTTACGTGAAGCGTGCATGTTAAAAATTATGAGTCGCGTTCTTGCTCTGAAAGGGCGCCCACAGGCGCAGTAGTCTACTATGTAGTCAGTGGTGCAGAATTTGTCCGAGAATCTTTGGCGGGACGGCAAGTCCCACAGATAGCTGGTGCTTGGATTCTCCTCGCCTCCTGGAATATTACGCGCGGCAGCAAGTTGGAGCAGACCGAGAGCTCTTGCAGCGAGCACATTGGATTGCTGCAGGGTCTCCAAGTCGCGGCCCTCGAGGTTCGGAAGACCTCGAGGGAACTCTGGGCTCCGCAGGGCATGAGGTAGCCGAGAGCCCGGAGGCCCACGCCGAGCGCGTGAGAGGCCCCCGCAAGGGGTCCCAGACCATATTGCAAGCACTACTCCAGACAATATCCATACCCCGAAGGCGGGAGTAGACGTCGTCGTTCAGCAGGTCCATATGCGGACCTTGGTTCACGTCGAATGCCAACACCACCACGCCTTTGCGCCTCATGGACGCAGTGAGCTCGCCAGAGCCCGCGAAGAGCTCGAGGAAGAGCCTGAGCCGGTTGCCTGGCCGAAGAGCCTGGTGAAGCGCAGCCTGAAGTTGTGCTCCGCGCGATGCATGAGATGCTCGAGACGGTCTCGCGCATGTTTAGGCAGCAGTTGCAGCTGTAGTCCGACTCTGCCGTGCTTGTCGTACCTGGCCACACTGCTGTGCGCTTTCCACATACCTCGGCGCTGGACCTCCTGCAATGGGCGTCGCCCAGCTGCTCGATCGTGGCTGGCCCCACCGTGCCTGAAGCAGTGTGGCGTAGGCTGCAGGACCTGAATGCCCAGATCCTGAGCCGATCGATCGAGCAGCGACAGGAAGACAGTGCACGAGACATTGACCACGTGCCCCATGGGCTGCGAAGCGAAGGCCTCCTTGAGCAGCGCCAACAGCATCCCCACCCAGCGGGGTTCTGGAAGATCGAAGGCGATGCTGCTGTCCATCTCCCCTGTCTTGGAGGGGACTTGGAGCTCCGAGGCATTGAGAACAATGGCGGGGCAGCCTGCCGCCCCCGCCGAGTGGCGGCCGGGCGGCGCGATCTGGAACATTCGCAACGCGAGCAACTTTCCGACGCGGCAGTAGGTCTCGAACATGACCATGCACCCCAGTGCAGCCCTCTCTTGCCCATAGTCCAGTAGCTTCGCGGCGATGGCGTAGGCGGCTTGCCTGGGCAGCGGCGGCCGCGATGCAGGAGGGCTGAGCCGCGTGCGCCCCCGCATTGATGCGAAGGCTCGAGGGAAGAGCGTCCGAGCAGGCCCTCCCAATTGCGGCAATGCCCACAGCAGCGCGTAGAGGACCTTGACGGTCGCCTCCCTTGAATGCCCATCGTCGCATCGGCCCTCGATGAAGTCGACCAGGGTGACGTCCCACACCTTGGCCGAGAAGCGCGGGGGCTCTCGGCACTGCATGAAGAAGGCCAGCTGCTCGAGGATGCCCAGGTAGGCCAGCTGCGTGGCCTCGCGAATGCGGTTGGCCTGCAAGCCAGTAAGACGAGGCACCAAACGATGTAGCAGTCGCTGCAATTCCACGTGATGCCGTTGCTCTCGGAGGCCC